TAAATCTTAAAAAAAAAAAAAAAGCTACATGGCACCTGGGTGGCTGAGTTGGTTAAGTAGCTGCCTTCAGCTCAGGTCATGATCCCAGGGTCCTGGGATAGAGTCCTGCATTAGGCTCCCTGCTCAGTGGGGAGTCTGCTTCTCCCTCTGCCCCTCCCCCATGCTCGTGCTCTCTCTCATGCTCTCTCTCATGCTCTCTCACTCTCAAATAAATAAATAAAATCTTAAAAAAGAAATTAAATTAAATTAATTATTTTTTAAAAAGCTACAACGAAGGGAACACTTGGGATGGGCACTGTGAGAGAAGCACTCGTCATCTTCGATGCCCTGTGTGTGTGTGCATGTACAATTTCTATAGACTGCTAGAAACTTTCAAATTCATATATATCTGTGTATGTGCACATATACACACAGGCATATTTATTTAATATATGTTATCTTTTTTAAATCCTAACCACAACTTTACAAAAAAGAAAACTAAGACTCCAAGAACTCAAACCACTTGTTCAAAGTCACAAAAAGTTGGCAAAACTGGGGTCGAACCCCAAACCCTACTCACTCAACACCCCCTTTTTTAAGATGCCCAAACAAATATTTTTGGAACAACAGACTTTTCCACTACCCCACACCGTGCCTCATTAGGGAAAGGGTGACATTTTGCCCTTTCTTTTCCAGAATCTCCAAGCAAAGATTTTGGTCCAACCCTGGGTTTGAAAAAGTCCAGTTCCTTGGAGAGCCTCCAGACTGCGGTTGCTGAGGTCAGGAAGAACGAACTTCCCTTCCACAGGCCCCGGCCGCACATGGTTCGCGGCCGAGGCTGCAACGAGAGTTTCCGGGCAGCCATTGACAAATCCTATGATGGACCCGAAGAGCTAGAAGCTGGTAGGACAAAGTGCTTCTTTACCCACGTTCTTCATCTCATTATCATCTGCGAATCATAGGCAAGGATGTGTGCTTAACGACAAAGAAAAATGATTTAAGGATCACAATTAAATTTTTGATATTAAAAGTAATTCATTTTCCTGATATGTTTTGCCCTTTGGCTTAACGAACATGGAACTGGCTAACACAATATGCAATTTATTTGACAGTGCAAATGCTAAAGAAATGTTCTCCTTCACTTTCCTACATGGACGGGTAGGAGCACTAAGTATGCATTTCTTGACATTCTTATTTGAGTCATTAGAAGCAGCCTCAACCTGAGGACTGACTGCATTAATTGGGTAGAAGCAGTTGGGTTACATGTGTCCTCAGAAACCTCTCCTGGAAATAAACTCGCCCTGTTTGTTTGCCAGCATATGGGCTTTCGGAGCCGATCGAGGTTCCCAAGCTGGCTTTCAGAGATATTCATGTTTTGCCATGTATCAAACATTTCATACCACCGGCTGAACCACCCATTTCTCCCTCCTCCCAACAGCAAACCTTACTTGAAGTAACCAGATTTAGGCAGTTGTCTCTTCAAAGGGTACAAGTAGCCACGTGGAAGGGTAGAACTCTGGAGTGCTTTATTCATTCCTCTGTATTTTACATTTAACTTTTCTTGATCTACTAACAGTGAGTGCCCCTGACCACACGTATTGATTTTTCTCTCCATACAGACCGTCTGTCTGATAAGAGCTCTCACTCTGGCCAAGGAGCTCTGAATTGTGAATCTACCCCTCAGGGCAACTTGGAGCTGGAGGACGCGGAACAGAAAGCCAGGAAAATCAAAAAACCCAAAGAGAAGGACAAGAAGAAGGACAAGGGCAAACTGAAAGTCAAGGAGAAAAAGCTGAAAGAAGAAAATGAAGACCCAGAGAGGAAAATCAAGAAGAAAGGATTCGGTGCCATGCTGAGGTATGGGTGTGCTGTGAAGGCCCAGTGGGCTTTGTCTTGCTTTTTGGTTTCTCCTGGTGAAATCACTCCTCTGTGTGTAGCCAGAAAACAATGGCAAGCTTTCCCTCCTTTTTAGCTAAATGCGTAAAAATCTCAACTGTGAAGGTGCCTGTTCCTTTCCTGCAGAAGCAGAAGGAGCCTTCCTGGGTGGCTCCCGAGGCTCTTGGTGATTCCAGGAGGCTGTTATCAATTTGCTGCAAACGGAAGGCTAACGCCAGGTAGAGGCATGGGCAGTGCTCGGCCCTTGGTACCAAAGCATTATGCGCCTGAATTAAATGCATCTTCCATCAGTGTAGGGAAAGCAAGAGGTGAGGGAGTCCCCAACCATCGCGTCTACAACACCCCCGTGTGAGTTAGAGAAGACAGAGTAGATGGACCTCACTCAGCCGCCCCGTAATTGGAGATGCATGCATGGCCAGGCCTGTGAGCACCTGCAGAAGCTGGGAGCGGTCCGTGGAGATGTCCCTGGGTCTGGAATCAGATGACCCCGTTCTCAGTCCGTGACCCTCTGCACGTGAGCTGCCAGGCTTCATGTGTTGCTTAACTTCCTGAGCCTTCCTGTCTTCACTTTCAAAATGAGGCCAGCGGACCGCTCTCCTAACTCAGTGGGGTTGTGAGACAAGATTTCAGATGCAGCCAGCCCATCCATTGGGCATATCCCCTCAGGGCACGATCAGAAACCAACTTTGTCTCTTCTCCTACAGCTAAATGTGCTTTGTTGATGCTGAAATGGTGCCCCAACCAGCTTGGCATGTTCAGATTTCTCCAGGGCAGAGTCGAGCCCTGCTCTGTGCCTCCCCAGCTCTAGAGCCACGTGCCAAACCCAAGCTTGCACGCACGGGAAAGGGAGAGGGCCAGTGAATGTCTGCAAGTTTCGAGCAAACAGGGAGGATGACTGTCTCCTTTCATACAATTGCCTTCAAATCCTCTCAGGGGTAATCTTGAAGCCTCCTTGCTTATTTTGTTGGGAGCAAGAGGGGAAGCACCCCTTTCCATTACTTTCTTTACTCCTACAACTTTGCATCACAGAAAATCACTCTCTCAGTCTCTACCCTTCTTTTTTTCCAGGGGCTGAAGGTGAGGGATGCGAGGTGATGTTGGCTACCTCTTATTCAACTCTTAGGAGATATCTCTCTTAAGAATACTGGGTGGCATTTGTCATCAGATGTCTTTAGTTTGGGATTTTCTTTTTTTTTTTTAAGATTTTATTTACTTGTTTATTTATTTTAAAAAGAGAGAGAAAGCACATAAGTGTGAGAGGGGGAGGGAGTCTGAAGCAGACCCCTCCCTGAGCATGGAGCCCGAAGTGGGGCTCCATCTCACGATCCTGAGATCATGACCTGAGCCAAATCCAAGAGTTGGATGCTTAACCGACTGAGCCATCCAGGTGCCCCAAGTTTAGGATTTTCAACTGAAATTCCAGACAGAAAGTTCTATTCCATATCTGTTATTCATATATGATATGTGAATATAAATATAATCTGTTATTATATATAAATATGGAAAGAGAGAGAGAGAGAGACCTTGAAACTGTAAAATCACATTTAGGCAACACAGATAATATTGATTCCAGTAAGACAAATCTCTCAATAGATGTTGGTTTGTTTTTAACATTTTGAATGTTAAACATGGCCTTTTTCTAGGTGATCATTACGATTGCCGGATTTTGTGGGCTGTGCTTTACGCATCCCGATAATAATGACACACACAATCCAAATATATAGATAAGAATTGCCTTTGAATTTATGGAAGTCAGAGGCTAACAGTGCAGGCTGTGCATGTGAAATGCTAAATTCAATCCCAGCTCTTCTGGTTATCTATCTAGGTAGCATTTGGCACACTATTTAATCTCTGTGCCTCAGTTTCCTCATCTGAAAAATGGGAATAATAATAGAATATACCATTATTATGAGAATTACATTTGTTTAGTTACATGTAACATGCTTATAAAACAGCGCCTGGCAAGAAATACACACTCAATAGATGTTAATTATTGTGGTAAGCAGGATAAGGGCCCCCTAAAGATGTCCATATCCCAATTCCTGGTACCTGTGAATATGTCATGTTACATGACAAAGGAGAACTATGGTGCAGATGGAATTAAGGTTGCTGATAGGCTGACCTTAAGATAAAGGAGATCATCCTGGATTTCCCCCCATGGCCCAGAGTAATTATGAGAAGCCTTAAAAGTAGAAGAAGGAGGTGTGACTGTGGAAGAAAGGTACAGAGAAATGCAATGTTGCCGGCCTTGAGATGGAGGGAGGTGGCCATGAGCCAAGGAATGAGGGCAGCCTCTAGAAGTTAGAAAGCACAGAGGAGTGGATTCTGTCTGGAGAGCCTCTAGAAGAGAACCCAGCCTGCCACATCTGTAACATCAGCCCATTGCTGTTGTTTCAGCCACTAAGTTTACAGTACTTTTTTTTTTTTTTTACAGCATCAGTAGAAAACTAACATAGTTGTTATAATCACTAGTACTACTTCTACAATATCGTAGTAATGTATAAGGAAACAATTTCCTCTTTAAGGTGTTAAAGAAAAAAAAAAAGCCACGAAGATTTAACTAGAGTCGTCTATAAATATAAAAACTATTAGAGCTTCACATGTCCCATTTTCTAGAATATTACTAAAATAAGCCTTCACTTCATAGTTTGTTTTAGATGACTTGATGCGGCGGGTCCATGCTCTGTTGCCCATAACATAGAGCAAGCTATTCCTTTTGTTGTCCAGTGTAGGCTGTATTTGCCTGTGGTGGAAAGCACAGGTTCTAGATCCTTTAGCCAACTAGCAACTCCGTTTTGTTTCCTTCTACTGTTTTAGCAAAATTAAGATCTGAAAGGTGGTGTTTGATTTTACCTCCCGTGTAAAAATAGCAACTGTTTTCCATAGCCTTTTGCATCTGAGGTTGCGAGCATATTGGAGTTGCTGCGTGCACATTTTCAACAACAAAGAACCCAAAAGCTGTTACCATTAGCCAACAGATTTTGCTTTAAATTCTCATCTGTTGCTCAGATTCTATTGACTTAGTTTCTTTCTTATTTAAAAAAGATTGATTGCTTTAAGGTTCTCTAGGAAGTAGATGTGTGGCTTAAATATGTATTATTTTCTTCCATTATCTGTGTTTCACAGCCACTCCCCTGTCATGGGGCTTTAATGCAGCTTGTGCCATGGACGGTGGCACCTGGCCAAGGGCAGGAGCGGGGACCAAAGTCGTCTCCCTGTCCTCACCACGCCATGCATCATGGAAGTGCGAATGTGGCTTTGCTCTGGCTTGTAAAAAGCTAAGTGTTGTGTGCGTTTCTGATACTAGCCAGTCCATTCATGTTAATATGTAGTCATACAGTTTAGCTCATTAGTTAATTTGACCTCCTCCTGATCCTTTTGAAAACATTATGGGGATCTCGTTAATTCGTATCTTTAAATGTGCGGTCTGGTTCCAGTGTGCTTAATGCTTTGCTGATTTCAGAATTACCTCCTCATAGATTCAACTGTGGCTCTGACACAGCCATGAATTATTATGGAAAAATATGCAAGTCAAGAACCTACCAACTTTGTTAGTTTCCCTGAATCCTCTGTTTGCCTGCCTTTGAAAGAGGACATTAGGGGATCAAGATGCTTCCATTTTTCCATCATGTGTTTGGCTTCCTGAGGGCTTGTACTCTTCATGGCACTAGTGGGTAGAAACAATGCTTGTGGCTTCTGGCAGCCGAAGGGTGCAGCTCAGACCCCCTCAGTAGACAAGCCAGTTGCTATCAGCCCTCGGCTGTTTTCCTGGGGTCTAGCAGATCTTTTCTAAGCACTGAAGAGAATATCCTTCGGCTAACGAAATTTTGCCCTGTCTAGAGCAGAAAGCCCAGCATTAAGTCCCTGATTTCTTAATTGTTTAGTAACCATGTGGATCTTTACATTCTTTAGACTGAATTCTGTCCCAGGTCTGTGTTTAAAATCTATTCCTTTATATCATATTTGCTGTTGTTTCCTTTTGATATTATAGGCCAGTCACTTGAAAGACCTTTGAATTATCAACTTGTGCTGGACCCTGAATGGAAAACCTTGATGTTGATCAAGTACCTTTTCTATACCCTTTGTGTGCTTTGGTACCTAAAGGAATTGTGCCTAGTAAATTCCTTTTTAATGGATTAACAATAAAGTGCTACACCTGCCAAAAGAAAACTTCATCTCTGTTTTAAAAATTTGTCTGCCCATAGTCATTGATTAATAACCTATGTCGAATGCTTACTCTTTGCCAAGCACCCTCATAATTAGACTTCATTTATTCCACATCATTGAATGCTTGTTTTGCATCAGGCACTGTTCTAGACCCCCGGCATACAGCAATGAAGTCCTTGCTTTTATGGGTTTTTGTTTTTGGGTTTTTTGATCTTAAAAAAGGAGGAGAAACTCAAAGACTTTTGAATTTCTTTTGGTGATTTTAAAACCAAGCAAGCAAACTATCACATAAACACGTAAACTGCTTGTGGCAGTGGATTTCCCAGGGAGAGGTGGGACATTGGCCTCAGCTACCTCTGGGACAAAGCACTACCTTGTCAACTTGAGGGAATCAATAGTCAATTTATTTGGTGCTGAGCAAGACATGCAGGCAGCAGCTCTCGTGTAATTTGCGTCCCAGTGACGAGAGAGAACAAACACTAACTCAAAATGATTGAGATGATTTCGGACTCTAGTAGGTGTTATGAAGAAGGTGAAGTCAGAAGGGATGGTGTCCTCTTCTCCATAGGGACTAACTGCCTAACAGACTGTGCCTCTGCCCAGGCTACACTTAACATCAGCAGATTCATTATCAGAACCTAGCATGCTGTGGTACTAATGCCAAATCACTTTATGCTTTTTTTTTTTTGCAGCACATGAATAAAAGGTTATTTTTTAAACCAGCTTCGCATAAAGCTATAACAAAATGCTAACCCAAATTCTGTCCTTTTTAGTACACAAAGCCCTGTTACACCTGAGCTAAACATTCTGAAGACACAGGGGCTTTAATCTAAATGGCTCACTTGATATGCAGCCGTTTTGGGTCCACTCTGTTCCTCCTGGCCCATCGGTTGGATGTTCCTTTTTTTT